ATGCTGTTAATCCTTCCTAATTCGTTTCTGATACGAGCACATTCCCTCTCCCAGTCCTCTCTTCCCTTCCTAATTTCTTCCTGAATATAGTGCATAAGTTCTTGTTTCTGCCTCTCTACCGCATCCTGTATTTGCTGAAATAACTCACTTTTATTCCCTTGGATTAGATCCTCCATCCAATCGCTCCTTCTCTCTACAAATTTCCCTATTAATTTGTCTATAAATCTGTCCTCCTCCTCATCCCTGCTGGTGATTGACCTTGAGCCCCTTCCTGATCTAGTCATTGCAGTAACAACCTAGCCAAAAAGGCGCTCCTCAATACCTTGCACAATCTGCAGCACAAACAGGCGAGAAAGTACTCCACGCCGCTGGTCAAGAGGTGAGGTCGCTGCGTCCCTGCATCACAGCTGGTGAGGTCACTAGTGGTGAGGTCACTCCGGCTCCACAATTTTGGCTCCACAATTTCACAATACCACGATGTACTCAACACTTATTTTCAGTGGTGGTGTTTGTACTGTTTTTCTTCACTTTCTTGTGGTTTGAGTGAGCTTACTAGTTATTCAATCACTCATATACACTCACATACGCATATACACTGATTATTCCCCCCAATTCACTAGCTACGCAAGAGCTTCCCAGACCCTTCTGACCTCCGCGGCTGTCTGACCTCAACTCAACTGTGTGTGTGTGTATGTGTGTGTGTGTGTGTGTGTGTGTGTGTGTGTGTGTGTGTGTGTGTGTGTGTGTGTGTGTGTGTGCGTGTGTGCACGTGTGTGCGCGTGTGCGCGTGTGTGTGTGTGTGTGTGTGTGTGTGTGTGTGTGTGTGTGTGTGTGTGTGTGTTACAGACCCGAGTCCAGCGTCCGAGCCCGGAGCAGTGACGACCACGCCATCTGTGGGTCAGCTCCCGAAACCCCCTCCAAATGGACGACGCCATCTAGTGAGGGCGAGATATACTGGCCACAAGGGCTAGTTTCCCGTCCTGATCAGCTCATAACACAGCCACTGCTGACCTCTGGTGAGGTGACGCTTAGACAGCAACGCCATCTATGGAGTGGATAGGTGGGCATTTGTGTCTAAAGCTGGTAAGTGAGACGCCCTAGAGTGTAACCGGTACTGATGATGTGTCTGATTACAGAGTCGATCTGGGACTGCTGTAATGAAAGTTGGGCTGTCTACCCAAGGCAGCCGTAGAACTTCCACGCTTCTGCTGCTGAAGCTGTGAGTCACCCCCCGGATGAACACTGTTGTGTTAGCCTGCCTGTGACATGGCAGTTGAGGAATTGTCGTTCCCGGGGCTGATTGGTGGAGAAGACTATCCACTGGGGTGTAGTGATGAGGAGAGTGATCTGTGTAATCACACGAGGCTCCTGCCTAGGGCTCGCAACCCTAGTATCAGTCGTGGAGTGGCCTACGCAGCGTTGCTGATTGGAACCTGCCAGCTATAGGCTGGATTTGTGGTTGACGGCCTCCATGACGGTGCACCCAGTGGAACCGTGATTTGGCTGGCCTGTGGCCAGGGTAGACTCGAGAGAATCGAAGGATTCATCGTGTGGCCACAAGAGGACCAGGGGCTAAGCATCGTTGAGTATTGTGGAACATTCCTGCGTCTTCAGAGGAAGGCCATATTGTATATTATAGTGTTTATATCTCCCCCGTGTGATAATTTATATATTATTTATGGTGACGGTGATAATTATATATTTAAGTTTTTGCCTTTTGTCTCCCTTCCCCTTTAATTTACTTGCATACAGAACACACCCCTTGAAAGCCATTACTAACTTGGGGCCGGATACCCAACTCTATTAACATCAAGAAAGAACCCAGTTGCGACCCAAGAGGGCCGTAACAGTGTGTGTGTGTGTGTGTGTGGTGTGTGTGGTGTCTGTGTGTGAGTGTGTGTGTGTGTGTGTGTGTGTGTGTGTGTGTGTGTGTGTGTGTGTGTTGGTGTGCGTGTGTGTACTCACCTAATTGTACTCACCTAATTGTGCTTGCGGGGGTTGAGCTCTGGCTCTTTGGTCCCGCCTCTCAACCGTCAATCAACTGGTGTACAGATTCCTGAGCCTATCGGGCTCTATCATATCTACATTTGAAACTGTGAATGGAGTCAGCCTCCACCACATCACTTCCTAATGCATTCCACTTGCTAACTACTCTGACACTGAAAAAGTTCTTTCTAACGTCTCTGTGGCTCATTTGGGTACTCAGCTTCCACCTGTGTCCCCTTGTTCGCGTCCCACCAGTGTTGAAAAGTTCATCCTTGTTTACCCGGTCGATCCCCTTGAGGATTTTGTAGGTTGTGATCATGTCCCCCCTTACTCTTCTGTCTTCCAGTGTCGTGAGGTTTATTTCCCGCAGCCTTTCCTCATAACTCATGCCTCTTAGTTCTGGGACTAGTCTAGTAGCATACCTTTGGACCTTTTTCCAGCTTCGTCTTGTGCTTGACAAGGTACGGGCTCCATGCTGGGGCCGCATACTCCAGGATTGGTCTTACATATGTGGTGTACAAGATTCTGAATGATTCTTTACACAGGTTCCTGAACGCCGTTCGTATGTTAGCCAGCCTCGCATATGCCGCAGACGTTATTCTCTTTATGTGGGCTTCAGGAGACAGGTTTGGTGTGATATCAACTCCTAGATCTTTCTCTGTGTCTGTTTCATAAGTACTTCATCTCCTATTCTGTATCCTGTGCCTGGCCTCCTGTTTCCACTGCCTATTTTCATTACTTTTGCATTTACTCGGGTTGAACTTCAACAGCCATTTGTTGGACCATTCACTCAGTCTAATCCAGGTCATCTTGTAGCCTCCTACTATCATCCTCTGTTTCAATCCTTCTCATAATTTTTGCATCGTCGGCAAACATTGAGAGGAACGAATCTATACCCTCTGGGAGATCATTTACTATACCAGAAACAGTATAGGTCCAAGGACTGACCCCTGCGGGACTCCACTTGTGACGTCTCGCCAATCTGAGACCTCACCCCTCACCGTAACTCTCTGCTTCCTATTGCTTAGACTCCCTTATCCACTGGAGCACCTACCAGCTACACCTGCCTGTCTCTCCAGCTTATGTACCAGCCTCTTATGCGGTACTGTGTCAAAGGCTTTCGACAATCCAAGAGGCTGTCTTGTGTGTGTGTGTGTGTGTGTGTGTGTGTGTCTGTGTGTGAGTGTGTGTGTGTGTGTGTGTGTGTGTGTGTGTGTGTGTGTGTGTGTGTGTGTGTGTGTGGGTGTGTGTGTGGTGTGTGTGTTGCGTGTGTGGGTGTGGTGTGTGTGGTGCGTGTGTGTGTGTGTGTGTGTGTGTGTGTGTGTGTGAGTGTGGTGAGGTGTGTGTGTGTGTGTGTGTGTGTGTGTGTGTGTTTACTAGTTGTGTTGTGTTTTTGCGGGGGGTGAGCTTTGCTCTTTCGGCCGCGCTCTCAACTGTCAATCAACTGTTTACTAACTACTTTTTTTTTTTTTTTTTCCCACATCACACACACACACACACACACCCCAGGAAGCAGCCCGTGACAGCTGACTAACTCCCAGGTACCTATTTACTGAGTAGGTAACAGGGGCACTAAGGGTGAAAGAAACTTTGCCATTTTGTTTCTGCCTCGTGCGGGAATCGAACCCGCGCCACAGAATTACGAGTCCTAAGCGCTATCCACCAGGCTACGAGGCCCCTATGTGTGTGTGTGTGTGTGGGTGTTGTGTGTGTGTGTGTGTGTGTGTGAGTGTGTGTGTGTGTGTGTGATATCATTTCATTATGTCCACAAATTTTGTAATCTACACTCATAAGCACTATCCAAGATCACTGGGCACACGACCTCACTACACCAAGCAACATGTGGCAGGATATTAAGCTTTTACCGCAAAATATCGATGGTATTTGGACGAGCAGTCAGCGTCCAAATATGGCGCTCCGCTTGGGCGGCCACACAACTCTCTTCTAACTGTCACTTCTTGGCATCACTCAAGGGCCACGAGACAGGTGCCAATCAGAGACACCTGCCCAACCAATCTCCGTGTAGGATTCACCACCGTGGTTCTTCAGGGCCGCCAAAGTGGCTTCAGGTCGCCCCTACTCGTTGCCACTATGTAAGAGATACGACACTGACTGCGCCCCGACACCTTCCTCACCAAGCTCTTCACCAATACGTCTCCACAAGCCGTAAATATCTACCTTCTTCTGGAGCGACGACACGCGTCTTTCTCCTCAGACTTCTATGTAGGTCTACGTTCAATCCCCGACCGTCCAAGTGGTTGGGCACCATTCTTTCACCCCCGTCCCATCCCAAATCCTTATCCTTTCTCATTTTCCCACTGGTTGGGCACCATTGCTTCCCCCAGTCCCATCCAAAATCCTTATCCTGACCCCCTTCCCAGTGGTTGGGCACCATTCCTTCCCCCCGTCCTATCCCTAATCCTTATCCTGATCCCTTCCCAGGGGTTAGGCACCATTCCTTCCTCCCCGTACCATCCCTAATCCTTATCCTGATCCATTCCCAGTGCTATATATACGTAATTGCTTGATGCTTTACCCTGATATCTCCTTCCTTCCTTCCTCAGACTTGGGCGGACTCCTCACTATTGCCAAGTGAGGAATATCTCTCACTGTGAGGTAGACCTACCTCAGGAGTCAACATTACCTTCTGAGGAACACACACAAACGGGACAACATCAGCGGCATATGTGAGGCTGAACAAATATAACAACATCGTTTTGAGATCTATATTGAGACTATCCAGGAGACATTGATGGTTATATCCCTCCAGGATACATGAATGGTTGTACTCCTCCAGGACACGTGGTTGGTTATATCACTCCAGGACACGTGGATGGTAATTCCCTCTAGGACAACATGGATGGTAATTTCCCTCCAGGACACATGGATAGTAATATCCCCCAGAACACATGGATGGTAATATCCCTCCAGGACACGTGGATGGTAATATCCTCTAGGACCATGGATGGTAAATCCCTCCAGGACACATAGATGGTAATATCCCTCCAGGACACATGGATGGTAATATTCCTCCAGGACACGTGGATGGTTATATCACTCCAGGACACATGGATGGTAATATCCCTCCAGGACACATGGATGGTATATCCCTCCAGACACATGGTGGTTATATCCCTCCAGGACACATGGATGGTAATATCCCTCTAGGACACATGGATGAATATCCCTCCAGGACACGTGGATGGTAATATCCCTCTAGGACACATGGATGGTAATATCCCTCCAGGACACGTGGATGGTATATCCTCTAGGACACATGGATGGTAATATCCCTCCAGGAACATAGATGGTAATCCCTCCAGGACACATGGATGGTAATCCCTCCAGGACACATGGATGGTAATATCCCTCCAGGACACATGGATGGTAATATTCCTCCAGGACACACTGGATGGTTATATACCTCCAGGACACACGGATAGTTATATCCTTCCAGGACACTTGGATGGTTGTTGTAACGGGGGGGGGGAAGGTGTGGAAAAATAAGCAAAGGGTAAAGAAAGAAGGTGAGGAGGAGAGAGGGATGAAGGATGGATGTATAAAACATGGAGAGGTTGAGGCAGTAACTGAGTAGAGAGAGGCGAGCGGGAATAGAAAACTGGAGGGAACAGCAGGAGGGGAGGCAGGTTGTGAGAAGGAGGAGAGGAGTGAAGAGAGGCAAGTAGGAGGGATAAGAAGGAGTAGGGGGAGTTAGAGTAGGAGAGTAAATAATGTTAATATATGATGTTATTCTAAGATGTTTAATGTTACTTTACATATACTAATATAAGGTGCCACCACCTGTCTCATTCGCAACTAATCTTAATACCACTCAAACAATGCGACAGAAACACTGCTTATTTCTCACTTGTTCATCTAGTTATCTCTAGCATTAACTCTTGCTTGGGGACATTGATTCCAAAAGAGGACTAAACAAAAGTCAAGCTTGTTATCTACTCATAGAAATTTATTGAATCAAATATATCAATTTATATCAATTTCCAGCAATTGAATATTTATCTTGCTATTTACCATTTGGGCATTCTATTATTTTAACACAATTTGACCCAATTAAAAGGAGGCGGGGTAGGATCACCCACTCCATACATGCCCACACCATACATGGCTAAATACTCAGACTCCACTAGCTCGTCACCACTATCTTGAGATGATTTCGGGGCTTTTTAGTGTCTCCGCGGCCCGGTCCTCGACCAGGCCTCCACCCCCAGGAAGCAGCCCGCGACAGCTGCTAACACCCAGGTACCTATTTTACTGCTAGGTACAGGGGCATAGGGTGAAAGAAACTCTGGACTTGTTTCTCGCCGGCGCCTGGGATCGAACCGAGACCACAGGATCACAAGTCTAGCGTGCTGTCCGCTCGGCCGACCGGCTCCACTGAGACATACTTCAGGTTTAGACAAGGCATAACTGAATCTCTCACCTCAACTCAGACGGATGCACCCTGATGGTGACTGGCACCCACCAGGGTGAAAATCGGGGAAAGCTGGCTCGTCACCTTCCCTCTATGCTCTCTGGGCTCTAACTCTCCCTAAACTGCCAACAGGGCATATATATCCGCTCCTTGCCACCCCCCAATTGGGCGGGGGGGGGAGAAGTTGGTCTCTTCCTCATGCCCAAATAAGGACTCGACAGGCAAAACTAGTCCTTATAGGACCCATGCTGGGCCTGACAGTACAAGGCTCTCCTTGTTAAGTAATGTCATCTCATGGATTGAAGCTAGTCAACACCTCACTCTTATCATCTCGCTCTCACCAACACGCATACACCACCATTACAACTCACAATTATACATGAAAGAGTGCAAAATACTAGCACTGTTACATTTATCCGTCCAGGACACATGGTTTATAATATCCTCGGGACACAATATTTTAATATCCCTCCAGGACACATAGATGTTAATATCCCTCCAGGACACATGGATGTTAATATCCCTCTAGACACATGGATGGTAATATCCATCCAGGACACATGAATGGTAATATCCCTCCAGACACATAGATGGTTTTATCCCTCCAGGACACATGGATTTTATATTCCTCCCGAACTCATGGATGCTAATATGCCTCCAGGACACATGGAGGCTAATATACCTCCAGACACATGGAAATATCCCTCGAGGACACCTGGATGGTAATATCCCCCCAAGACAATTGATGATATTATCCCTCCAGGAGACATGATGGTTATATCCCTCCAGGATACAATGATGGTTGTACTCCTCCAGGACACGTGGTTGGTTATATCACTCCAGGACACGTGGATGGTAATATCCCTCTAGGACACATGGATGGTAATTTCCCTCCAGGACACATGGATAGTAATATCCCTCCAGAACACATGGATGGTAATATCCCTCCAGGACACGTGGATGGTAATATCCCTCTAGGACACATGGATGGTAATATCCCTCCAGGACACATAGATGGTAATATCCCTCCAGGACACATGGATGGTAATATTCCTCCAGGACACGTGGATGGTTATATCACTCCAGGACACATGGATGGTAATATCCCTCCAGGACACATGGATGGTAATATCCCTCCAGGACACATGGATGGTTATATCCCTCCAGGACACATGGATGGTAATATCCCTCTAGGACACATGGATGATAATATCCCTCCAGGACACGTGGATGGTAATATCCCTCTAGGACACATGGATGGTAATATCCCTCCAGGACACGTGGATGGTAATATCCCTCTAGGACACATGGATGGTAATATCCCTCCAGGACACATAGATGGTAATATCCCTCCAGGACACATGGATGGTAATATCCCTCCAGGACACATGGATGGTAATATCCCTCCAGGACACATGGATGGTAATATTCCTCCAGGACACATGGATGGTTATATACCTCCAGGACACACGGATAGTTATATCCTTCCAGGACACTTGGATGGTTGTTGTAACGGGGGGGGGGAAGGTGTGAAAAATAAGCAAAGGGTAAAGAAAGAAGGTGAGGAGGAGAGAGGGATGAAGGATGGATGGATAAAACATGGAGAGGTTGAGGCAGTAACTGAGGTAGAGAGAGGCGAGCGGGAATAGAAAACTGGGAGGGAACAGCAGGAGGGGAGGCAGGTTGTGAGAAGGAAGGAGAGGAGTGAAGAGAGGCAAGTAGGAGGGATAAGAAGGAGTAGGGGGAGTTAGAGTAGAGAGAGTAAAATAATGTTATATATATGATGTTATTCTAAGATGTTAATGTTACTTTACATATACTAATATAAGGTGCCACCACCTGTCTCATTCGCAAACTAAATCTTAATACCACTCAAACAATGCGACAGAAACACTGCTTAATTTCTCACTTGTTCATCTAGTTATCTCTAGCATTAACTCTTGCTTGAGGGGACATTGATTCAAAAAGAGGACTAAACAAAAGTCAAGCTTGTTATTCTACTCATAGAAATTTATTGAATCAAATATATCAATTTATATCAATTTCCAGCAATTGAATATTTATTCTTGCTATTTACCATTTGGGCATTCTATTATTTTAACACAATATTGACCCAATTAAAAGGAGGCGGGGTAGGGATCACCCACTCCATACATGCCCACACCATACATGGCTAAATGACTCAGACTCCACTAGCTCGTCACCACTATCTTGAGATGATTTCGGGGCTTTTTAGTGTCTCCGCGGCCCGGTCCTCGACCAGGCCTCCACCCCCAGGAAGCAGCCCGCGACAGCTGACTAACACCCAGGTACCTATTTTACTGCTAGGTAACAGGGGCATAGGGTGAAAGAAACTCTGGACATTGTTTCTCGCCGGCGCCTGGGATCGAACCGAGGACCACAGGATCACAAGTCTAGCGTGCTGTCCGCTCGGCCGACCGGCTCCACTGAGACATACTTCAGGTTTAAGACAAGGCATAACTGAACTCTCACCTCAACTCAGACGGATGCACCCTGATGGTGACTGGCACCCACCAGGGTGAAAATCGGGGGAAAGCTGGCTCGTCACCTTCCCTCTATGCTAGCTGGGCTCTAACTCTCCCTAAACTGCCCAACAGGGCATATATATCCGCTCCTTGCCACCCCCCAATTGGGCGGGGGGGGGGAGGAAGTTGGTCTCTTCCTCATGCCCAAATAAGGACTCAGACAGGCAAAACTAGTCCTTATAGGACCCATGCTGGGGCCTGACAGTACAAGGCTCTCCTTGTTAAGTAATGTCATCTCAGTGGATTGAAGCTAGTCAACACCTCACTCTTATCATCTCGCTCTTCACCAACACGCATACACCCACAATTACAACTCACAATTATACATGAAAGAGTGCAAAATACTAGCACTGTTACATTATATCCGTCCAGGACACATGGTTTATAATATCCCTCGAGGACACATAGATGTTAATATCCCTCCAGGACACATAGATGTTAATATCCCTCCAGGACACATGGATGTTAATATCCCTCTAGGACACATGGATGGTAATATCCATCCAGGACACATGAATGGTAATATCCCTCCAGGACACATAGATGGTTTTATCCCTCCAGGACACATGGATGGTTATATTCCTCCAGAACTCATGGATGCTAATATGCCTCCAGGACACATGGAGGCTAATATACCTCCAGGACACATGGAAATATCCCTCGAGGACACCTGGATGGTAATATCCTTCCAAGACAAATTGATGATAGTATCCCTCCAGGACACATGGATAGTTATATCCCTCCAGAACACACGAATGGTTATATCCCTCTAGGACACTTAGATGGATATATCCCTCCGGATACATGGATAGTTATATCCCTCCAGGACACTTGGATGGTAATATCCCTCCAGGACACTTAGATGGATTAATCCATCCACGATACATGGATGATAATATCCCTCCAGGACACTTAGATGGATTTATCCCTCCAGGATACATGGATGATAATATCCCTCCAGGACACATGGATGGTAATATCCCTCCAGGACGCTTAGATGGATATATCCCTCCGGGATACATGGATGATATTATCCCTCCAGGACATATGGATGGTAATATCCCTCAAGGACACATGGATGGTTAAATTCTTCCAGGATACGTGGATGGTAAAATCCCTCCAGGACACATGGATGGTAATATACCTCCAGGACACATGGATGGTAATATCCCTCCAGGACACATGGATGGTTATATCCCTCCAGAAAACATGGTAATATCCCTCCAGGATACATGGTTGTTAATATCCCTTTAGGACACATGGTTGTTAATATCCCTTTAGGACACATGGATGGTAATATCCCTCCAGGACACATGGATGGTAATATCCCTCCAGGACACATGGATGGTAATATCCCTCCAGGACACATGGATGGTAATATTCCTCCAGGACACATGGATGGTAATATCCCTCCAGGACACATGGATGGTAATATCCCTCCAGGACACATGGATAGTAATATCCCTCCAGGACACATGGATGGTAATATACCTCCAGGACACATGGATAGTAATATACCTCCAGGACACATGGATGGTAATATCCCTCCATGACACATAGATGGTAATATCCCTCCAGGACACATGGATAGTAATATCCCTCCAGGACACATGGATGGTAATATCCCTCCAGGACACATAGATGGTAATATCCCTCCAGGACACATGGATGGTAATATCCCTCCAGGACACATGGATGGTAATATCCCTCCAGGACACATAGATGGTAATATCCCTCCAGGACACATGGATGGTAATATCCCTCCAGGACACATGGATGGTAATATACCTCCAGGACACATGGATGGTAATATCCCTCCAGGACACATGGATGGTAATATCCCTCCAGGACACATGGATGGTAATATCTGTGGGAACCGACCTGTGAGATTTATATTTATTTAATTTATATGAATTTATATTTACGTTAATTTATATACTAAGATAGCAATTTGTATAATGATAAGTGGACTGTATTTCTGCAATAATCTCTTAATCTCACAAATCGATCCTCTACACATTAGGGGGGGGTTATTAATTTATATATATGCAGCCAATCAAACTACAGTATTAACTACACATTATTAAACATTGAAGAGGTTCCTTATCTTATAGTACTGCAGGCTAGTCCACCAGGTATAACTAGGGTGTAGACACCAAATTATCCTCTTTGAGGTAGCTTCCATATCACCCAGTAACTGGTGCACAAATCTTGCTTCCTCGTCTTGACCTGTCAAAAGTGCGCTAGCTGTGAAGCCAGAATCCTATATATGACAAGCTATATCAGAGAAAACACTATACAGTACATGGAACATTGAAAACCTGGCTTAATTACCTTTAGTTTGAGGCTTCCACGTGATCTAAACGGGTCACCCTATATCCTGACATTAATGGCCATAAATGATGATAAACGGTTTCGGATAGACACTTAACTTGAATTTGTAGACAGCGTGTTGACAATGGTACACTTCTGGTTTCCATAACACTACGTCCAAGTAAAATTAACAGGAGCCGAATTGCTCCTGTGTGAGCCTCTGGTCTAGTATAAACAATGGCTGCCTAACACTCCATACTATTGACGTTACTGGCCGACATTGTCCAGAATGATAGGAGCCGAATTTGCTCCACACGTCTCGGAGGTGACACAACAATGGCTGCCTCCTTCCTCCCTGACGCCTGGCCTACTTTGTCCAGATTTCAGAAAGTGATAGAAGGGTCACATTTACTCTACTTTAATATTGATAATTAAGTTAATTATATAAGATGTTTTTTATGATGGTAAAGTCCAAAGACTAATGTATTTAAGAATAATTCCCACCATAATAGGTGGTGAATTATAATAGTATGTGGTGATGATATCCCGTTTTCTTTAGACGGTAATTCCACTACAAGTTACGTTTTCTTTGGGTAACTTGTTTATACAACACAGCTATTATCTGTATGATATTAAATAGTGTCGGATTTTCCGACATAATTCCCCAGGGGGCTGCTCACGGGTCGAAGTCCTCTTTAGAACAGACGAACACCGATACTCCTCCTTCGAATTATTACATTAATTTGATGTTAGTAGTTAGTAATCACACATTTGTGTGTCTGTTCGTACAGGACGGATGTCCCGTACTAGAGTTGCAGGGGTTAGAAGTCTAATGCGATTTCATTTCCCTGTCAACTCTTGAAAGGCTAATATTCAAGCCTTATTACATATTATTTTAACCCAGAAGACTGGATGTGATCAAGTACTACAGTCAAGTATGATTCAGGGACTGCAGTGAGATCAGTGACATTAGATATAACTTGAAGTTTGTTCAGGTAACTGGTCACTGATATATAAACACTGAGGCCCATGGAATACATCTTGATTAAATAATAAATGTATCAAATCAGTCATCAGATTTATTGGGGTTTAATTTAGTTAATTGATTCAGAAGATTGAATAGCTCATCATTAAAGTAAAGTATGGTTCTGAGACTGCAGTGGGTTCAGTGACATTGGTCGCAGTGACTTGTAGCTGTTTTAGGCTACTGTTCACTGATTTGCCACTGAGGCCTCATGAACTCATCTCCAGCTTTAAATGATGATACTAACATCAACTTCTGTTTGGTATAGTCAGCTGTAATCTCCTTAGTATAATGCTACTGGAGAAATATAATCAGCTGACAAATTTAGATCTCTACTGGTATTGTTTATCTGCAGGCATAGGGCTCCTCAGGCTTGATACTGGGCCTGAGAGTAATTTACCTCCTGCAGAGTTTAACATGGTTATACCCTGATATTTAGTAGGGCTACCGATGAATCGATGACAATAGTCTGTCCCTACAAGGAGACCGAAGTCGGTGAGGTGATCAGACTTAATATTATCTGCCAATTTTATTCCTCTATTTCTCAGGAATTTGGCTGTTGCTCTCAGACCTTGAACTTGTAGGTCTACTGGTATTTTGTCCACCACAATGGCTTGTACTCGACAGATGTACCTGCCTAAACGTACTGATGGTTGTACCACCTGGTAGACTTCAGGTCCTGCATCTGTTACAAACCCTGAGATGTTGAATGACATCTGGGCTACAGGCCTTAATTGTAGTTCATCTGCCAACTTTTTAGTGATATATGTTCTCTGGGATCCTTGGTCAAACAACCCTCGGGTATGGACCTTGGCCCTCTTATTCAGGATGGTAATTTGGGCAGTAGGCAAAGTCGTATTACCTTTAGATTTTGCCGATTGGACACTGTTTGTTTGTTGCACCTTGCTGTACTGTACTGTGGTGGGAATGCTATCTTCCACCTTGGGGTTTGGAGACGTTGTTTTGGTGTCTCTGCACAATGCTGCATGGTGCTGACCTTTGTTACACCTATTACAGGTGTGTAATTGGGTATCACAGTCCTTGATGTTATGTTTCCTGAGGCACCTCGTGCAATGTTGCAAATCTTTGAGTCGTTCAACACGGGCGTCACTATCAGGAAAATTAGAGCAGTGGTACATTGAATGTTTCTCATTGCAGAACAAACACGTTCCATAGCTTCCAGTACCCTTTGGTGTCACGTTCTTGGGTGACACAGTAACTATAGGCTTGGAGGGTCCCACTGCATATACGCCCACACTGCCACTGTTCCACTTTGGTGTTGAATTATATTGTCTAGATTCATTTGGAGTACCTTTGGTACTCTGTGGTTTACTATTATTGGTTTCTGAGGGTTTACTTGGTGGTTTTAATTTGTCATGTGTTCGTAATTGATGAACTACTGACTTTAAACCTTCAGATATTTCATTCATGGATAAGATGCTTTTATTGTAATGAGCACTCATTTGTCTCAATATGTCCCTAGGTATTTTTCTCCTGGACAATTATTTTCAAGACCCACTCAGCCCCGTTTGTATCTGCTGTCAGGCTGAGGGCATTGATCAATGATTCTATCTCCAGCTTGAAGACTTGGAGTGAATCAGCTGAAGCCTCCGGTGGGGGTAAATGCAACAGCTCATGAACTAAATGTGATGTTCTTACTTCTGCATCAGCATAATTATCCTTGAGGAGTTTTACTGCCAGATCATAGCCGTCATTAGTTAATCTCAGATGGGATACTACTGTTTTAGCCTCACCTGATAATTGGCCTTGCAAATAAGAGAATTTACTACTCTTTGGTAAAGATTGTTTTGAGTCTACAAGGTCAACGAATTTGTTCCAAAATTCGTCCCAATCTTCCTCATCCTTTCCTGAGAAAGTGGGTAAATTAATTGGAGGGAGTCGAGCTTCTGCTTGACTCGTATTAGATGCAACTGTTGTTGTTGTTGCTGTTGCCTTGTTCTGGGCAATTAATTTGACATAAGGCTGTAACGTGGCCTGAGTGTGATCTTCATAATTCGCAAGATCAACCATAATGTCGTCTATTTCTGTTTCTGATAAATTGGTGTTGGCAAGTTCAGCCACATATGTTGCTATTTGACATTTGATTTGCTCAAATTTACCTGCAGCTGCTTGATAATAGCTTTCCAGGTCAGCATAATCAACTGTTGATTGTTGTGACAAATCTTCACATTTCTTGATCTGTCTTGTTAAGTGGCCTTTAAGACCTGCAAGGGTTCTTTTCATTCTCCCTGCATTATCCATACTGGCTCGTTGGTGAAGCCTTGTGGGACTTGTACTTGGGCTGCTCATATACTGAACAAACACTAATGGTAGCCTAGGGTAAATGCTGCACTCACTAGGCAATAATCCTACCTCTACTAGAGGTTAGCACTTAAAATTAATACACATTATATATATACAATCATACACACTAAT